TGCCAAATGTCCCCTAGTTGGGGTGGGGGGCAGAATTGTCTCCAACTGAGAACTGCTAGTCTAGTGGCAGGTGTCTGGTGTCTAGAAGGTACTTAATATGTGTTTTGGATTGAACTGTTTATTTCAAAACCAAAATTCTTCAATATACTATGGAAAATTATCCTTTGTGTCTTGATCATATATTGTACTATATGGTCATTTTAGAAATTTTTAGAATGAACAGAAAATATCCAGTCAAAAATGAAAGTTATCTGTAGACTGAGCGTTGTAGCTCATGCCTATAATCCCGGTACTCTGGGAAGCCGAGGTGAGTGGATTGCTTGAGCTCAAGAATTCAAGACCTGGCTTGGCACCTATAGCACAGTGGTTATGGTGCCAGCCACATACACCAAGGCTGGAGGGATTAAACCCAACAGGGGTCAGCTAAAAAACAACAATGACAACTGCAACAAAAAATAGCTGGGCATTGTAGTGGGCACCTGTAGTCCCAGCTACTCTGAAGCTAAGAGTTTGAGGTTGCTATGAGCTGTGATGCCACGACACTCTACTGAGGGCGACATAGTGAAACTCTGTCTCAAAGAATTTGAGACTAGCCTGAGCAAGAGCGAGACCCTGTTCTACTAAAAAAAAAAAAAAAAAGAAAGAAAGAAAAACTAGATAAGCATAGTGGCGGGCCCCTGTAATCCCAGCTACTCAAGGCAAAGGTATTGCTTAAGCCCAAGAATTTGAGGTTGCTGTGAGCCATGGCACTTTACTCAGAGTGACAGAGTGAGACTCCTATCTTAAAAGACAAAACAAAACATAAAAAAAGTTATCTGGGCTTGGCGCCTGTAGCTCAAGCTGCTAAGGCACCAGCCACATACACCAGAGCTGGCAGGTTTGAATCCAGCCCAGACCTGCCAAACAATAATGACAACTACAACCAAAAAATAGCCAGGCATTGTGGCAGGTGCCTGTATTCCCAGCTACTTGGGAGGCTGAGGCAAGAGAATCGCTTAAGCCCAG